TACGGCCCATGCAGCATTCATCAAGGCTTGCAACTACTTCAAGATCAAGCTGCACCGAGTGCCTTGCCCAGAGCCCGAGTTCAAGGTCGATGTGTACGCTGTTCGCCGTTTAATTAACCCCAATACCGTCCTTCTTGTCGGATCAGCACCTAATTTCCCCCACGGCATTGTTGATGACATCCCCGCTCTATCGCGCCTGGCCATGAAATACAAGATTCCCCTCCACGTTGACTGTTGTTTGGGATCGTTCGTCATTGCACATCTCAAGAAAGCCGGCTTCCCATCGCCCTATGAGGAGGAAGGTGGCTTTGACTTCCGCCAACCCGGTGTTACTAGCATCAGCGTTGACACCCACAAGTACGGATTCGCCCCTAAGGGCAATTCCGTCTTGATCTACCGCAACAAATCATACCGAAATAACCAGTACTTTATCTACCCTGATTGGTCCGGTGGTGTTTATGCCTCTCCCTCCGTGGCGGGCTCCCGCCCTGGGGCTCTGATCGCCGGTTGCTGGGCCAGTCTGATGAGCGTCGGCGAAACTGGATACATCAACAGCTGCATTGATATTATCACCGCGGCGCAGAAGTTCGAGACGGCCGTTCGGACCGATGCGACCATCTCCCTGCACATGGAAGTCATTGGTAACCCCATCGTCAGTGTGGTTGCGTTCCGCAGCAAGAATGGTGCCATTGACACCTATGATATCGCCGACGACTTGTCCGCTAAAGGCTGGCACCTCAACGCTCTTCAATCCCCCCCAGCTATCCACTGTGCTTTTACTATTCCCACCGCCAAGGCTGTCGACCAGCTCATTGCTGATTTGACTGAAGTCATCGGCAAAGAGCTTGAGAAGGCGGAGCAGCGCAAGCGCGAGGGCAAATCGTATATCCTCAACCGTGGCGATACCTCTGCTCTGTACGGCGTGGCCGGCAGCATTCCCGATAAGAGTATCGTCAGCCGTCTGGCAGAGGGATTCTTGGACACTTTGTACAAAGCATGAGTCTTGGAATGAACACATGAGTTTTTCCTGTTTGTATCTTCTTTGCTCGGCCTGTCCGGACTGCTCCCAAGACATAGTCCTAGTGTCTTCTGGCTGTCTTTGCCCTAACTTCTGGTGCAGCGGCGTTATCATTATCCAGGTCCTTTCAAATTGCACATATTTGTTTGAAGTGTTTGGAATTCGTTTCAAGTGTTGGATTCCACTAGACGGTAATAATGCATATAATACAGTAGTTTGCTGGAAAGACATTCGCCCGAGCGATGTGGACGTAGAGTACGTGACGAAAAGAGAAGAGAAAAAGCAACCCGCTCCATGCAAGCAAAGCCAAGACAGAAAAAAAGAGGACGCGATCAATCAATCAATCAATTTATCGGTCGTCCGGGTGAAAGGCATTTCAAAGGTCTCAGGTCTCATCCCAGTCTTCAAGACTGGCGAAAATCCCAGTGGGGACAAAGCATGCCATTCCACGCGAAGCTCAATGAAAATAATCACTGGCCACTGAGTTCCCCCCGCTGCTCACTGCAGCTCTTTTCGGTGTAATATCCAGGATCAGGCTTGCGCTCAAGGTGAACCTCCTGCTTCGTGAGTCGGTACTGGCATTCTTCGACTTGCACAAGTTCCTTGACTTTCATGATTTGACCCGCAACGGAGGGCGAGACACTGTGGAAGACTGTTGCCATACGCTTCTTCAAGCCAAGCGCCTTGAGGACATCTGTTGAACGGCGCGGGAGTCCAATTGCGGAGCGGACGAGGGTGATACGGAAGTAGGACATGTTGAATTGTGAAGATCGTGAGGATCTGATGTTCGGGTGTTTGTTCTTGACGGTTTGGTTTGAAGGTTGCCCGGAGTCGTGGGATTGGACTCGGAATGGGTGAAACGGAATGCGGTGAATGAAGGAGAATTCCAGAATTTCTGTGGGGGACTTTGCAGCCGATATCTGCAGCGCAATGGATCCTTTGATCTGGCGGAGAAACGTCGCGGACTTGGAGATGGTCGCGATCCGCAAATTCAATTGGAAGGCGGTATATCACGTGTGTGTTCTGCCGGACGCCAGGCGATGGCAACGACAACAATCTATCGGCCTGTGACAGCTGATGAAGTATTTCACATTCTGAGAGCGGAGACTATGGGCTGCGCTCTTTCCGCTGTGACAGTACCTGGATTTTTATCATAGCTCGCTGCTGTGCACTACCTTCCCACAAGCTATACCCCATGCCCGCATTGTTGACACCTCACCCCTCGACCTAGCTTCGAGCGATTGATCTGGAATATCGACACTGCAAGATATTTGATAGCGTACCGCGACCATGGCGCAAGCCAATAACATTGACACTACGGTCGCGCTGCCGCGGCTCGAAGACCTCCTACGGCACCCGGAAGATCTAGATAAGATCAGCGGTCTCAAAGCGGAATACCTACGAAAGAAGACGGCAGTTGATTCACGGCTGCGTGAAGGTCTGCGAGACCAGCTAGAGGCTGTGCAAAGCAGTATTAGTGCTCTCACTGAAGGCCAGCGACAAGTCTCGAAAGCAAAAGACGAGCTTCAGGGCATTGACAAGCTGTGCGCTGAGTCGCAGCATAGCGTGGAGGACTTCGCGAAGATCGACCAACTTGCGCGGATCCAACGACATTTCGATGCTACACTTATGATGAAAAGGGGGCTGGAGAATTTTGGCGCGGATATCCAGGAAGTGGAGGAGTTGCTTAAAGAGGACGATGACGATTTGGAGAATCAGCCTAATATTCTGCGGGCTCATATGCAAATTTCGCGGTTAAGAGATTTCCGCGATGAGGCTATGGATCAGATTCGCAAGGCAGAGGATCCGAGCTCTGAAGAGACTCTGATAGAGTATTTTGAGGGGTTGGATTCTGTTATTGAGTGGTTTGATGATCACCTTGGCACAGCTTGCATGAACCTCATCCCCTTGGTGCAGGCAGACAACAAGAGCATGGTTGTGCGACTTGCTGTTGTTGTTTTGAACGAGGAGAAGAATGATGACACCGTCCAAGCGCTGCAAGAGGCCCAGAAAGACCACAAGGACCTCGCAAGTCGTTTCAAATCTATGAACATTGGTCCGAAGACTGTGCGTGGCTACAAGGACAAACTCATCCAGGCTATTGAGCTTTACGCACAGGGCCAATTTGAAGAGACCCTCGAAATCTTTCTCGCAGATCCAGACAATCTGGAGAAGAAATTCCGGTGGTACTTCAATGATCTATTCACGGTCAAGCAAGGCATGCAGAGCCTTGTACCGAAGAAATGGAAGATTTTCAAAACATACACCGATATCTATCATCAGATGATGCATGACTTCTTGCTTCGTATGATCGACGACGCCGAACTCCCAGCCGATAATCTACTCAGTATCATCCACTGGAGCGACAAGTACTACAAGAAAATGAAGAAGCTTGGCTGGGCATCAACAGATCTGCAACCCAACATTCTCGACGACCGTGAGCCAGAACTAATTCGAAAGTGGCAGGACGTCATTATCAGCGCCGTCGAAGAATGGATGGACCGCATATTCAATGCGGACAAAAAGTCTCTTGTGGAACGTGCCGCAGACGCTCTAGACAACAACGCAGAGGGCCACTTCCGCACCAAGACACTGGCCGACCTGTGGCGCATGCTCCACGAACAAGTAGTGGCATCAGGGGCATCAGATCGCGCAGACCTAGTAGAGGGCATTATCGACGCAATCTTCCGCGCCTTGAAGGCCCGACAGGCTGCATGGCAGACACTCGTGGACGAAGAGTGTTCGAAGCACCAACTAGAAGGCGCAGACCAAGAAGGTGTGCAGCTGCTGCAAGACTGGCTAATTGGCATAGCCAACGACCAGATCTCTTGCATCGACGACAACGAGGAGGACAACCAGTTCGGTTATCTGACGCGGTTCAAGTCCGATTTTGAGCCTATGGTCACACCTAAGTACATGGGTACCACTGCGAACATGGAGCTCGATACACTGCGCGATGGCTATGTGGATCTGAGCACGCACTGCCTGGCGCAGTTCGTGAGCCTTGTCTTCTGGGTCGATCTGGAGACCGTTCTACCAGACTTCTACACGTCCCGCTGGTACGGCGAATTCACCATGAAGCGCATTACCTCCACCTTTGAAGACTACATGGCGGACTACGCCTCCGTGCTGCACCCATCTCTGGCCGAAATTCTGGTTGAGGAACTCTCCGACGAGCTGCTGGTGCGGTATTTGTCTGCGGTGCGCAACAAGGGTGTCAAATTCCGCCGCCACGTCGACCCCTTCACGGACAAGTTCAAGGACGACGTCCTCACCGTCTTTGCGTTCTTTGAAAACTATCCCGACTCATTTGAGGGCACTATCAAGCAAAAGTGGCGGCTGGTTGATTGGCTTGTTCGCCTACTTGCTACTGATAAGGGCCCCGCGCTTATAGAGGTCTACCAAGCATTCAAGCTTGAGTATTGGGATCTGCACCTTTCGTGGGTTGAGGCTGTGCTGCGCACCCGTGATGATTTCGAGCGCAGCATGCTCACCGCCATCAAGGCCAAGGCTGCGGAGTTATCTGTTGAACGGGGACACGAGACTATCATGAATCGCTTGAGATGATTTCGTGGTCCTTGACCGTGGGGCATTTTTCTAAACCGCACCGATACTCCCGTTTCATCCTTATTCATCCTACTGTCACCGTGTACTAGCTGTCTGGCGTTAACTGTTCCGTCGAAAGTCGCAGGCCTCTCTTCGTTGCTTAGCCGACACCGAGATGCACTCCCTTATGCAACCCGCTTCATGAGGAGAAACCCCAACCACACGTACCATCCGCAACCCAAGCAGGCTTGGGATCTAGTCTACTCATTAATATCACTAGCAACACAGAAATGGAAGCAAATATTTTAAACAATTTAGTGTTCTCATAAATATCTCCAACAAAAGTACCATATTCAAATGGATCATCCCAATTAATCAGTTAGTGTTGATTGACAGAGGGCTTTGTATTCGATGCGGGACGTTTTGAGATTGACAGTCATGGATTTAGACTCCGTTCTGCAACGACCGTATATTTCTCGCCGAGGCGTTCATTCAAACCGTTGTCGTTGACAACGGGATGCAGTTTCCTGGCACCCATTTCGCAAATGCAGATGGTATCCAGAGGAATTTCCTTCGCCCAAATGAAAGGATAGCCCTGTGACGGTGGGAGAAACGGTGGGAAAGGAGTGTCCGGATAGCTTTCATGGTTGGAGGAAATAATGTTTTTGTTGGGGATTGGCGAAGACTTCGCACGGCTGTGGTGATTTTTGCTATTCTCGTAAGATACAGCAGGAGCTGGATGTGGGATAGTTTGATTATCATCGGAGTAGTAGTTACAATATTGAGAAATCAGGTTGCGAGCATCAAATGTAAGGCGTTCGGGTAGAGTTCTGCTCTTTGAATCTTTGTTCTGGCCCTGTCGGCCACGAACGTAAATGGTATTGACAAGAGTCGCGTGCAGGAGGAGTGGTTGTGGTTGCGGTTTTGGGTCTCGGGTTCTTACAGTTATGGATGGGTCCGGGTTTCTCGACGCGCCAGGGGGTTCGGAGAGAGTTTTGCTTTCTCGTGAGTGTGAAGACACATCAATAGAACTGCTACCGGACTCAAAGGCCTGGTGGCAGTCTTGGACAAAGCGAATGGTCGGCTTTTGTCTTCCTGCTGGTCTTCTATCAGACTCGCTTTGGATGAAGCCAGCTTCGATGAATTTGTCACGGAGCTTGATGCAAAACGGTAGCAAGCGGCCTGTAGGGTCGATCGGGGATGCATATAGTATTGATGCTGACCTGACTTGCGGCAGAGCATGTAATGACTCAAGAGAAATGGTCAATGGCGATGATGGGTGAAGGGCACTTCTTTGCTGTGTGTGGGTGGCTCGCTCTGCTTCGTTCATCAGCTCTGCCAGATCGATGGATTGGAAAAAAGCAAGAGCTTGACCGAGACGCTCTTTATTGGTAAGGCTCATCACCCCAAGAGTAAGGTGAAGCGTGCCCAGAGGACGAAAGGCTGTGCTGGGAAGACCCAGGCTGAAGGTGGCCCCTTGGCCATTGGGGGTCGATTGAAAAGGTGACCCGGGCTCAGCGAGATGGGCGGTTTTAAAGGCAACAAGTGACAATTCCAGCTGCGGCAGCGATTTAGTGTTTACTAGAGGGAGACACAGGAAGTGCGTCAATTGCGGCCGCTTTTGCCGCTTTTCTGGACGAGGTTTGTGGGACTGATGCCTGGATATGCCAGCGGCCTCCGTCATAATGTACCTGTATCTCAACGAATGTGATGGCAGCATCAAACAAAACTACTGATTGCACGGGCCAGTCGCCGAAAATGTCTTGAGATAGTTGCTGCCCGGAAGAAGCCAGAAGCCGGAAGTCAGAAGTAAGTAGTAAGCTTAGGTTCAATTTGCACGGACCAGGACCCACAAACCTTGTGTCAACCTCGTGGGAATCATATTTCCTTTGGCCACGGCTGAGCTACAGGCCACACAAAGGGGGTTATCCAATGCTTTTAGCATGGTCCGCATATTGCAAGACTCTATTAGCACTGAGCTGTGCTCCATAGTTGGCAAATTAACAATGCTATGGGTGAAAAACCATGACTCCATCTCTCATCCCGGTGATATCCCAACGCGTCACACAAGTGCGGTCCCTAGGATCTGCGACACAAACAGAATCCGGCAATGAAAAGTCCGTCTGAAAAGAAAAACACTCTGGCATATCAAGAGACAGGCAGCTAGAAGCAGAGGAAGAGGTTGCTCGGGTGCGAATACTTCTGGCTCTGATTTCGCCCCGCTTGAAGTCCTTGCTGGGTTGAAGAATCTTTTGGGACGCTAAGTAAAATCTTTGCACCGGCTTCTGTAGTAACAGTGCTGATAACTGGGCTCTGGCGTACCGAAAACCATCGGACACACCCTCGAAGATGAATTATAACATTGCCATCTTTGGGGGAGTGACAATACACACATACCATGGTTAACATTGCCATCTTTGGGGGAGTGACAATACACACATACCATGGTGTTTTACTTTGGGTGGGCACGTAAACGTTTAATGGGGCCTTTGATGGAATTTCAGTGTGTGAAACGATGAGATGGTCGGTACCAGTTTACTTGGTGATAAAAAAAACTTGATCTTTTCTCTCTCTCTCTCTATCCTTTCTCCCTCTGAAAGATTTAACCATGGCAGGCATAGATTTTAGAGTTCGAGAAATCACCACGAAAGATCAATTTGCACGCTTGAACGATGTGCTTTGGACAGCTAACTTCCATCCATACGAGTTGAGTATTCCACTTGACAATTTATACAACAATCCACAAATTAACCACATCGCTCCTCCAGACCTGCGTTCATAATCTTCCACGCTGTCAGCGGCCATACGGCAGAAGACCGCGCCAGAGACAAAGCCACAGATACAGATCTTCAATGGACCAAACACGAGCAGACATGTGGTTCTCACTACATCTATGCCATTGAAAAGTCAACGGGCCGAGTCGTAGGTGGCTGTCAATGGATATTCTACCACGAGAATCCCTTCCCCAACGGTCCGCATCCAGTACCTTGCACCTGGTATCCCGCCGGATCTGAGCGCGCCGAGTACGCCTCCCACGTCGCGACCCAACTCCTGTTTCCACGACAGTGCTGGTTCCAGCGACCTCATGCGGGTGTGTCATGCTTAGTTGAGGTGAACTAGGGCTTGACAGAGAACTGACGGTGTTTGTTAGGTGTGAATCGATTGGGTGTTCATCCAGACTTTCGTCGTCGTGGAATTGGGCAGCTTTTGCTGCAGTGGGGCCATAAGAGAGTTGATGCTTGGGGTTATGAGACTTTCATTGAGTCGGGACCTTTAGGGAGGTGGTTGTTTGAAGGATATGGGTATGTGAAGGTGATGGGGTTGCATATTGACTGTGAGCGGAAGAATCCCAGTGAAGAATGGGAAAGACTAGTGCGTGAGTGTCGACCACCGGGGATTCTGCTGCTTTGGAGACCTCCAAAAGGTGTATGGGATGAGACTGTGCCTGAGGGGCCTTGGGTAGTTACGGCTGAAACGTGGAATTAGCCTTCACTCTTACAACTAGAATGGGGAAAAACACATATCTTTGCGCGAATTTAATTTTTGAAACTGCACCACAACGCCTTGGGCTACAGCCTCCATTTTAACTGCAAGTTAATTGTAACTTCCGGCTACATCTCTTGATACCAATCCTATATTGGTCCAAGTATAGTGCAGCCGGGGAGCGCGTAGCCGCCCCTTTTAGGGGGCCGCGAAAACTCTACACGAAATACTAACGAGCGTATATTAGATATAAACTACGACGTGCGCTAGCTACTAAATTAAATTAGCGGTAATAACTCTATTAAAGTCCCAAGGTAGGGTTTAGACTACTTAAAAGGTATTTAAGAGCTTACTACTAACCTTATCAAGAACCCTACCGGTGTCACGGTGCGAACCGTGATGCTTAGTAAGAGGAAGATCACGGCACGTGATCTCCGACCTGTTTATCTGAACTTCAGTTCTAGATCCTGTTGTAGCTCTTCGAGCTACGTCTTGTATAATAGCCTGCCCCTGTCTGTACCTGTCAATGGGAATCTGATCTGTTATGACCTGTTCCTACCAGTCATCTCCTATCATACCGTCCTGCCAGCCCGCACCCTGACAAGTACACTCCACTACGTTTATTAAATAATTTCTTTTATAATATAGGTTTAGGTATAGTTTTGCGTTTATAGGGTTAAATAGGTTACGGGAATAGGCTGATTCCGCACTCTTTACTTCGGCATCATCTGTCTACTTTGGGAGCGACCCCGCTCGGCGTTGGGTCTCGAGTTCTTGCTTCGGTTGGAGAAGCGCCTGCATAGTCATACGCAACTAGTTAGACTGCAACAGGGTAACTGAACTTTGATTGATTGATTGATTACAACTAGAGTATGAGGAACTGTGGGATTTGCGCCAAAAATCTCCGCTTTGGGGGGCCAGAAATGGCTGCCTTTCTACCCGTAACTTTGGATCTCTAGTCACTCCTTAGCCGCCCACTGTCCTATAACACCACTTTTCTGCACTCCAGCACTTTCAGTCATCCTCCGGTCCTGATGTTGACGCTCGACTTAGTTGTTCCCTTCGTTTCTACTGGCGACCAAAAACGACACCCAAAATGGCTCCCCGTCAGCTAGCTTCAAATTCCCTCCCTTTTAACCCAATCCACGCTTTGCCTCCTTTCCTTTTCGATGTCCTCGCACCTCCTATTATCTCATCCTCGTGACCTCCGCCTTAAGCTGACCTCGACATTGTCGTTTCCCTATTACGCAAACTTTCCACCCTAGTATTTGTATCTGACTTGGGCTTCCGCAGAACCCAACCGGATACGAATCTCGACCCAGCAGAAACCCAGGCTGGGGTAGACTTTGTAATTTTTAGTAAATCACATGTATATCCATATAAGTTTTTAGATATCTCATCAATCCACTAGCCGTATAAGGTCTTTCCGCCTAAACTCTCTCGTCAACTGGGAAGCGGGCTTCGACCCCCATGTACCATCACGAGAACGGCAACCTCTCAGCCGGTGAATACAAACTCTGTGACGAAGCCTTCGGATACGGAAAACGGGCGTTACTGAGCTCCTATGGCGTGAACCTGTTTCGGAGTTGCGTTTAGATCATCAACTTCAGAATGACTGTTGGCAATACTGCTGGTGGTGTTATAAATTCCACCCATTCTCTAGATGGAGAGCCTTTCTTTAAAGATGGGGATACAGAAGAAAAAGCCGTCCTGTTCGTGAACTAGTCGGTTGGACGGTGCCTAATATTTGACGGAATTCAAAGTTGCCCGAATGCCTTTACTCCAATGGTCTAGAGTGTTCTTCTTCGTCATACGCTGCGATGCAATGTTGTTTGTCCCAGAATGTTCGCGGGTGGAAATAGGTCTACGCGTCAAGTTAATCAACTACTCTCAGGCCCGCTTCAATGTATTCCAGGTGGAACTATGCTTACAATTAAGAGCATCTTTAAGATGACCCGAGTGTATATTTGATTCGGCAAGTGAGGAACCCTTGGAATACCAAATCAAACACAACCAATTGCTGCTTTTCTCTTGAATTCCACATGGTGCTGCCCATCAAACTCTTGAATGGCGACGACCTCAGCCGTGTCCCAGCAGACACTCCCAAATTTCAGAGGGATTCAAAGAATCGCCACTATTTGCCCTCGGCTCAAGCTGATCTCAACGCTGGCTTTCGTGTCTCGAAGCCCGTTGGCCAAGTCATGTACTTTGAAATATTTGCCGAAGCCGAGAAATTATTATCAAGGAACAAACCTCTGCAGTTCACATATCCCCATGCTGATCACCCAGCCCATCCCAAGGACAGTCTTACAAGCAAACGAGATAAGTTACACACATCTAGCCAACCTTGGAAACTCACTTCATTGCGCTGACAGACTATCCTTGGTATTAGTAGGCTCAGCGAAATGGGCACTATCTCCGAAACTTTGCCGTGGTCTCTGTTCTGTGGCTCAAGTGGAGACAACATAGAAAATTCACCACCAGACCAATATGACATAACACCGAACCGGCATGGACAGAGCGAGAAAGACCTAATGTCAATTTCTAACCGAAGCCAGGGCACCAGTGTGGCTTTGATTGTATCGGAAGAGAGTCAGTCATGCTCAGAGGAAGAGGCCCTGATCACGGTTAGGCCAAATAACTTTGCGAGTGCAAGGAGGAATCTCACTTGGTCAAAATCAATCAGACACCTTTGAACAATACGCAGGGCCGAGTGGCAAGCAAAGTTGAGCTGATGAGCATGATTCATCGGGTTGGAGACTGGCATGGACCTAGAAACCCAACAAGCGTCAGCAAAAGCTGGTAAGGCCTATCATCGCAGAACTCTATCTAACTATCTAAGGAGGTTGGCGTGTGGAGGTTGTCCGATTGGGTTGTATTCAACCTCCTTTCCAAATGTTGTCCGCTCAGGAACCTTACCCGAAGAAGTGAGAGTGTGCGGAGTTGTATGCTGGAGAGACCAGTTTAGATAGCTGAATCCCAAGAAAGTTAGATTAGACGGCGCGGATATAGAAATTCCTGGCTAAAACCAAAAAGCGTCAGCAAAGCTGGTGAGATCCCGTCGCAGAAATCTATCTAACTATCTGTGGAGGTTGGCGTTCCTGCATTAAACCTCCTGTCCAATAGTGTCCGCTATGTGACCTCACCTGGGTGTGTTTTCTGCGGAAGGAAGCTTCGGGATTGGTGTCAGGCGTTTATTTTGACGTTGATAATGAAGGTTTTGGTGGTGTCATGAAGTGGCCTTCGTAGCCCGTTTTGCAGGCCATGGTCATCTTTCATCAGCCAAGGCCTCATTCGATGTGACAAAGAGACAAAAGAAATGACTAAGTCATCAAAAGCAGAGGAGAAAAGGTTTTCCTGTGTCAGCCAATGGACTGGTGAGGTCTTCCAATCGGTGCGAGCCAAAAGAACCGTGGGGTTGATAACGCTGGAGTTCTCACCTAAAGCACGATGGGTGATCATAGGTTGCTCATCCCATGCGTAGAAAGGATTCATCAAGCAGAGTCGACATACATGACCAACATGGACTGGTACCTGGTCTTATTAGCCAAGATACAAGACAACAGATTCTAACGTTCATCATTGCTGGGGGACCATGGGGGAATGATAAGCATGTATGCACGATGAAGTATCAGGAGGCAGGCGTGACGCCATGATACCACGGGGTAATGAGACCAACCCATGGAGATGGAGTTGGTGCAAGAAGGGGAGGGAGAGGGGAGACAGCAAGACAAGACATGAAACACCGAAATATGACAAGGCATCGAAGTGGAAGGAACAAATGATGGAAGGTACTTACCAGTCAACCTGGTCCAGGCGACGTTACCAGCTGGGAGGCTACCAATAGGATATTAGGTCAAACTGGAAAGAAGATGGTCATGAATCTATGCCCATCTGAAGAGGCGAGATAGAACACATCTAGAGAGAAGGACTCGGCTCAAATCTGAAATCTCGTAGACGTGTTAGCCAGGTTGACTTCAGTCCAACATTCGTCTCATAACCCCGACGCCGTAGATGTTGACGGAACACATTGAGCCATCCAAGGAATACTGAGTAAATGGTGACGCAGGTGTCCACAGGACTACTCAATAGAGAAACCCCTCAAAAGAGATACTAGAAAAGACATCGAAGCACTTTGTTTTGTATGATTTCTCTACCCAACGTCATCTCTGTCAAGTGAGCTCGGTGGTCAGATGATCAAAGTTCTACGTCGTCGAAGGCAAATACCGGACGAGTGGCCGGTTACTTGAAGGTTAATAAGTAGAGGATTTGTAGTTTTCATTATTTCATAATTTCACAGTTGAAAGTGCATTTATGGTGACAACGGAGAGCGCAAGACCTGGCGTCCGTGGAGACGAGACTCAGGAAATCTCCTTCTTGCGACCCTCGACAACACGCATAACATCCGCAACGCTATCTTTGTCACCCTTCTTCTTCTTCGGGCCACGCTTTCTCTTTTTCCCGCCTCGCTCGTCGTCAAAATCGAGCAGGGGACCATCTTCCTCCTCTGCGTCTTCGTTGCGGCTTCCTCCGAATCCCATATCCATATCTGCAGCATCCATAGCGTCTCGGTGACGTGCCTCTTCAATAAATCGCTTGTGACGAAGGGCTGCTGTATCAGAAGGCTGGTCTCCTTCACCCTCTGCTGAGGGAGAGGTCTGTCGGAGGGCTGCAGCTCGTTTGAGGGCAGCAAGAATGGTTGGATCTTTGGTGAAGGGGTTGGACCGGTTGACAGGTTCCTCTTCCACTGTTGTCGACGTCCCGGTCCCAAAGTAGTTCTTGTGTTTTGTAGGTGCTGTTTCAAAGGCAGCAGGCTTCTTCTCCTCTTCACCCACAGGAGCCTTTTCAGGTTTGCGAGTAGCCAAATCTGCCACTTCGCCATCTTCATCAGATGATGAGTCGTCTTCGATTCCAGCGAGAGGGTTGTAATCATCACCGACACCGGCAAAGATGTCGTCGTCATCCTCGGGTGCCTCTTTTGCAGCAGCACGGGCAGCAATCTCAGCTGGAATTTCCATGCCGAGGGGCTTGAGAGTTTTATCGGGCATCATAAGGTCTCCGGCAGAAGGCGCAGGCGTTTCAATCGGCTTATCAAGCCACCTAGTCTTCCTCTTCGTATTTCCTTGCGCATCGGTGATGAGGAGTACTTCGCGTCGGCGGCCAGTCTCATCATGTTCAACAAACCGCTTCTTCTCTGGCTTCCCGTCGCTCAACTTCTTGAATTTTGACCCGAGTATAGACTCTGGCGGCGGAGCAGGCGCAGCGGCAGCGGCACGGCTTGCCCTCAATTGCCGTAAGATTTCATCGCGAGTCTTGGGCCTAGCAGGCGGCGGTACCATAGTCCCCTTCTTTTTTTCCTTTTGTTGCTTTGGTGCAGCAGCAAGCTCCTCAAGTCCCTTCTCTTCGATCAGACGCTCGAATTCCTCGTCGACGTCTTCTTTTTCAGGGGGCGGCGCAGGTTTTTCGGCCGCTTGAGACACGTCCTCACCAGCTCTAATCCTTTTCAGCAATTCCATGTCCAGTCCTTTGACCATATGTGTGCTTGCGATGTCACCCCCGACTCCGAGATCTCGGCGGAGTTTGTCGAACGTAGCTTGGTCGATTTGTCCCAACTTAACCATATCCTCTAGTGCCTTGATGCGTGCCTCTAGGCCCATGCTATTCTCATTTTCACCCTCTGCAATGCGTAATTTTGCACGATCCTGGTAGCCGGTCGGTAGCGAGGTACCCTTCGGCGCGGCTGAAGACTTGAATCGCTTGGAAGGTCGATCGCCCTCGCGGCGTTGTTCGAAGAGCTGGCGGGCGAAGTCCACGCCAGTGACTGAACGTCTATAGTAAAGCCACGAAGTTAGCTTCCTCTGAACTAATAGTAATCTGTAAATCTTCCGACGTACGGGGTCATGGGAATACTGGACCGCATTCGTGACCCTAGTGACCCGCCCGTGGTTGCGCCGCCATGCGATGCATCACGACCAGGCGCTGGGCTCTGGTTTTTTGGTTTTGATGACGACTGATCGGCAATTAGCCGGCGAAACTGCTCGTTATTCATTATTCGCGAGCTCAAGTCGCTTGGGATTCAGGTTAAGAAAGGCCTAGTCATGTCAAGAACTGAAGATCCGGCTTGGCACTGATAAGAAATGTCCATGAGTGGTGCAGGTGACCACAGTGCCCTAAGAAAGATGGGCAATTTGGGAAAGTCGCTTCTTTAGTTTCTGTTTTGCTTCGCATATTCCTGATAAATAGCACTGTCTAGCATACCTGAATCGAGGGATAGGCGTTTGGCCTAGCGGTTGTCGTTGGTGGCATTGGCGCACTGCCACTTTGGATCCCCGTCCATCCTCAGCCTGAGTGTGTTGATCTCAAGCTGCCGGATTGCCTATGCCATTTTATTTCAAGTTTTCATTTCTTCTTTTCTAGTGATAACCACGCGACTTGGCAAGTTCTACCCGCAGTCTGACGTTTCTGTTGAGTTCCCGCAGGCCATGCTTCGCAATAGTGAGTTAGCACTGAAAATTTCATCAAGTCCGGCATGGTCTTCACAATCACAGAAGGATCCTCTCAACCCAAAGGGCCATGGCTCATCCGAGGAAACATGCTGGCGCTGCGGGATGCTGCCAGTTGGGGTTCCATGAGCGTGGCGATGATACTCCATAGGTGAATCCAGCTTTCGACAGTTTGACAAACTACATACTGTATGTGAGTGGGATTAACGGTAAGCGTGCGGTATATATATCATGCCTACACAAATTCAAGCACAAGAAGGACAAGAAGATGCGATGCACACAGAGAAGGCCCGCATCTCGCAGGAGTCACCAATTACCCCTATAACAGAATCAAAGGAAAAGAACGAGAGAAGAAAACGCGCGTCGATCCCTCATTAGAAGAGATAGAAAGGAGAAATACATATAGCAAAACAGATTCTTGACAACAGCTTTAGGAGGCCTAATAATGCATTCACAAATCCAACCTAATTTTGGGTTGAACGTAAATTTGTATTTGAATCGTAACTACAGAATGAACGTATTATTGAAAAGCATGTTCGATATACAGTTCAAAAGAGATATAAGCATAGTAGAGATGGAGAGCAACAGAAAAGAAACGAATTAAGCGGCTAAACACCCAATCGCAATTGTTCCCAATTCGACATCGAAAATTCACAAAGTAAAGAATCTAAGAGCATATACAGAAGAATCGCAAAAAGAACCCCTTTTTTGGTGTTCATTAGATAGTCTCCCAGCCACCGCTGTTAATCTCTGCCTCCAGCTTGCGGCTGATAGTCGCAGGGATCGAATGTGACAGCCACACGTCGCGTAGGAGCCGGTCGTACCGCTTCTGGTTGAGGATGAGTTGGCGATTACGGCGGAGGCCGGGGTCAACTTCGCCGTGACGGTCGAGGTATGGCGCGTAATGCCATGACCCGTTCGTGTTGTGTAGGTAGAGAACGGTGCATTTACGAATATTGATGAAAAGGCCGACGTTTTTGCCGCATCTATGACAAGACTGTTTAGCTGGAGAGTGCTTGCAAACAAAATGGGAGGGTATACAGACTTTTTAAGATGCTGGTTGCAGCCGCCAAGCTTGTTTGACATACAGCAGACTGCCTGTGAGCAGAATATTTCTCCGCAGAATAAACAAATACTGGGATCAGTGAGCTCCTTCTTGGAATTGGGGCAACGGCGACGGTTTGCCTCTTCGATCAAGCTATCAAAGTATTTGGGTAGACCGACAAGCTCGAAGATAGTAGGGTGCGACAAACTGGGCCAGAGACGATGATCTTCAAAGCGGATGCCTGAGCGCGAGGCGTTCCAATGGAAGATCCATCCTGAAATGACAGCGTCGAAGGGGCTATTCGTGTTGCGTGCGGGCTTGACGGACATGAGAATCTCATCGATGGAAGGCAGTTGAAGTGCTTTGGTCAGGCGCTCAAGCTCAGAGGACTCCACATCAGCGAATCCTGTATTGGGGAACTCGACGCCGTGCTGAACATGAAGAAGAATAACTGCTTTACGAAGGAATGCTAGTCCATAGCTCGTAAAAAGTCGCCGTACGGCAGTAATTATGCTTGGGGTGGCAGTTTCCTCTCCATCTTTGACGTAGCCACTCTCGGCGGGGAATGAGGAGCCCTCGGCACGGCCGACGGAGTTTGCCTTCAGTTCAGCAACGATCGAGTCGAAGAACTGCTTGGTAACTCCGAATTGCTCCTCAGATAAATCAGCAGCCATATTGTGGTCCTCGGGGTGGGTGGCGAGTTCCTCCTTCAAACCCAGTGGCCAAAGAATGAAAGTGACAGCGACCTTGACAATCTCAGCCACAAAGCACATCCGCACGAGGTGCCTGATGTCGATATTAAGAACCGGAAGCAGAGACAAAGATGATTCTGCGAGGAACACAAAGGTATCCACGGCAAGTAGAGGCTCGATGTTACGGACATCATTGAGCAAAGCTGTGCCACTCAAACAAGGGTGACCGACAAGTAACTGGCAGACCTTTTGACGGTGCATCTCCTGGAACTCACTTGTTGAACGGCCTTTTGATGGTCCCGTCGAGTGAAGACACCCAACAGCAGCGTATGTCAACGCCGTCTCTGACAGAACACGCAGATGGGTAAGCGTCAACGAAGGAATTGTGTCGAGCAGGGTCGAGCCAGGCTCTGACTCGACACCACGCTGCGCGATTTCCACTGCAGTAATGCTGAAACCAAAGCTGCGAATTAGAGAGTCAGTCTGCACAAGATCTTCATTGCCATTTGCCTCAGAAATGTTGTTGAACATCGAATAGACGTGATTTGCCTTGAATGTCTTTGTGAGCCGCCTGTAGCTCTGAAGCAGTTCCGAAATAGGGCTTTCCGAGTGACTTGACACGTGCTGAATTGGACTAGAAGGCGAGAGGTCTTCGGTGGGAGGGAAGACGCCTGGCATTGGCATGCGCGCTGGCGTGATGTAATGTGCAGGTGACGTTGCTGGGAAAGACGAGACCCTCAGTTGATCAATATTGTTAGAAAGCGGTGAGACCAATGACTTAGACAAGTAGTCGACAAAGATGTCAGTATATGGTTGAGGATAGGCCTTCTCCTTCTCCATGAGGACTGGGAAGTTTTGTTGTTGATGCAAAGCGTGCTTTAGGCCTACTTGAATCCATTGGTCGAATGATTCAGAAGGACTGAGTGGGAAAAGGGGAGACTCTTCCTTGCCCTTCCAGGTGATGGGGAGGAATGAATTTCCAAGAGCTTTGCAGAGAGGACAAACAAACTCCTTGAGGTTAGTGTTCTCTGGATGGTGACGCGCAATCTGCTGGGTATGTCGCCGCTGCGTCGCCGTAAAGTACTGCTCAAAACAGGAGTAATGCATGATGTGCCCACAGCCAGTAGTCACAGGCCCACGGAGAGTGCTCTTTGCGTTGAACCCTTTACTGAGCCCAATCTTTTCGCTGATGACTTCACCACCAGAAGAGTCAAGACGTTTAATGGTAGTACGGTTATCTCCGGATACACCAAATGGTCGCACTTCTTCAGCGGACCTGTCCAGACTTGTGGGTGTTCTGAGCACCTCACGAATTCTATCGGAGTCCCTGATATCTGTCTGTCGCATAATTATGCTGTCTTGAACTAAGGCAAAGGTGCCGTAGAGCCTCGAATCGCTGGTCTCTTCCTGGCACAATATACATGTTCCGCTAGGGTACTTCCATAGCTTCTTTTCTGGCGTAGTGTCTGTGTCGGACTCGAGATCACTGAAATCTTCTTCACCCCAATCGATATTACCCTGAGTGTTCAAGAATTGTTGCTGCTGCTGCTGGAACTGCGCCATAACCTTGGCTTGCCTCTCTAGGGCCTGCTTCTTCTTGGCCTCCTTGTCGTTGTCTGCATCAATTGCAGGAGAGTTTGTGTCAATTCGGTCGAAGGGGAATTTAAGAGACGCAGTTGCAGATGAATACGTGCGAGGGCGCTTTTGCCACAGACGTTTGAGAATGTGTCGTATTTTAGGGCCAGATGCCGTAAATTCAGTCGTGACCGAAATTCTCTCCAGTAAACCGACAATGGTCAACTGCCCAGCCTTGATCTCTCGGGTCTTTGACAAAGCATTCCAGTTGAATGAATTAGAATGGTCTTCTGCCATATCAGTTTCCTCAGAATCATCTTCTAACACTGCTGCAAGGATAAGATGCAGAATCACTTGAAGGAAAGTCTCAACACGTGTCGGTGGGATAGTTGGTGTACACTCTTTCGATGAGATGACGTATTCCAAACATTGGTGAACAATCTGTGCAAACAGCATCGTTCCAGCAAATCGGGGAAGATCTGAGAACACGCCGGAGCTGATGGGTCGAAGTTTTGGCTCAAAAACAATGTCAGAGGCATTCTTGCCTGTATTCTTCGCCATCCATTCCTTGCATATATTCTCTGCTTCGTCTCTTTGGTTTTTGGTATAGTGTGCGCTATATGGATCAATAAGATCAAGGTGTTCGGGCTTTAATTCGAAAGTACCAGAGTCACTCAGGCCTTCGGGTGGGCGGAAGTTGGCGACATCTTCCAACACATCTTGGAACATGTCCGAGTCTAGAAGCTTGTCGCTAAGGCGGGTTGAAAGGTCGGAGAAAGATAGCGGCTTGAAGCACAAGACATGAGCAATGTCACGTTTGATGTTTTCATGGGTGAGGTGAGTGCTGTCATCGATGGCAGTCAAAGATGTTCGGTCTGTCAGGAGAATTACCAGTAGATGAACAAATTCCTCTGCCACATCCACAATTTGGGCATCTTCATATCCCGAACGGGGCATGTAGTTCCGAGCCATCCACTCGACCATGCCAAAGCGGTGTGCAATGGAAGCAAGAACTCTGCTAGGATCACAAGTAACTAGGGCGGTCTGGAGAAGGAAGATATCTCTGTAGTAGGCAAAGTCACGAGAAGAGACTCCACGGTACTGTGACATTTGATGCCGAAGACTGAGGCCATTACGAACCCACATACCAGCCTTCATTTGCGCCAGCCAAGCGCAAACTCGGAGTGGATAATCAAACATAGCCAGAACCAAGTCCTCCGGTCCAAGAGTAAGCAAAACATCATCAACGCTACTAGGGTTGGTAGTCTTGGCGGCATGGATCTTCCTTCTCGCTGCATTAGCAGCGTCAAAGAGAACGTCGCGCATGGTAGCGCTGTCTATGTCTCGTCCACATTCAACGAGCCATGATAAGGTGTAGTGAAGGGCGTGGTGGAAACTGATAGACCCACGTTCAACCACAAATTCCACCACCCGGTGACAAGGGACTTGGCCAGAAGCGCCAACCTCGAAGTCGAAAGGTGGCAGTAGCTTGAATCGTACTTCATCCTTTATTTCTGCCTGGTCGAACCGCTTGCGTTCTATACCAGCTGAATTGAGGATTGCTGTAGTAGTGGTGGTCTCAATTGCCCTCAAAAGGTTGTCGCCATTGTCAGTTTCAGGGTCGCGGAAAGACTCGCAAAATTGGCGGCAAAGTCGGTTGATCTCTCGCATGAGAATGGACGCACTGATCCAAGCGTCTGTTTCGTATTCAACATGTTCACCAACGGCGCGGACATTGGGGCAGATGCCCTGTGACAGCTTCACGAGATCGAGGAACTGAGGAAGATATTGTTCCTCAGTCCGCACACGGTGTTGGACATATTCAGATTGGAGAAGGTATCGGAGGTCAAGGAAGAAGTGGTAGAGACGCCTGTTTGTAACTGAGCCAGCATCAAATGCCAGCGTGGCGTTGGGGTCGACTGATTGCGGATCACCGACTTGTCTGGTGGTTAAGAATGTGTAGAGGATAGACATCACCTTCGTGAGGAAGTTGCCTCGCACAACAATCTCTTCTGTGATTGAAGGGGTCGTGAGAAGCTGCAATGAAAGGTTGACAATCGAGTGATCCGGCTCTCGATCCGCGATGAGGTACAGTTGAGCCAGAGCTGTGTACAATGCAGACAAACGAAGAGCCATAATGCGCTTAAACTGTGGAACATTGACAACAGTGCTGATGTAGAGATCGCGCAAGTCGGTTCGTGTCTTCTTCCACAACCTCAAGTCATAGAGCACCAACCAGTCTAGGCGAGTTCGCTGCCACAGGTCTTCATACAAAGGTACTTTTTCGCCTGGGCCGGGAATGGGCGGCCGGACTTGCCAGTGACTGTCTGTGTTCGAAGGCCTTTGTCGGTACGAACCAGGAGTCTTGGGAATGGGAATATAACCAGCAGGGCCGGATTCAGGGCCGGGACTTTGAGGTTCAGACGGACCTCGTTCGACAGAGGACCGAGCTGCAGTTTGAGCGGGTGCCGGTCGAGGAGGTGGGGGCTGTGTGCCAGTAAGTCCGGCGAAAATACGTTCAGCTAAAGCAAGTTCTTCATCTGCACCCGCCAAAATCATATCTTCGTCGTCTTCTTGATCACGAGAGAGTTCAATGTCCATTTCATCGTCATCTTCATCATCAGCATCGTGGGCTTCGACATAGTCTTCATCTTCGTCTTCGTCTATAACATCGTCCTCAAGCATATCGTCTTCGTCATCGTCGGTGGTCAAGATGACCTGACCGTGGTTAGGCAAATTGATCAGCAGCGTACGACCTGGAAGGATTTCAGTTTGCTGATGATCGTCAATTCCCTTCATGCCGATATCTTCGTTATAACCCGCGCTGCCTTTTTTCCAGGACGTGAGCATTTCTTCGCAGATGATTTGTCTGAAAATTTCATTATCCTCGAGGATTTCACAGCCGGCAATGTCAGCCAACCACTCCACTATCGTTGTGCACATTTGCTCGCGGAAAGTATCTCGCGAGGAGCGCACCGTGACGGTAACCTTAATCTCCTCAATTATCTTAGAAACACCCAAGAGTCTGTTCAGGTCCTTCGAATACTTGATCGCACTGCGGCCCATATCGTTTGTTTCTTGGGCCCGCGCAATGCCAAAGCTATCTCTTTCACGGCAAGCACGCGTGACCTGATGAGAGACATCGCGAATTGTATGCTTTTCATCATTCCACAGCATGACCACAAATTCCGGTTCTTCTTCCTCTTCATCGCCAGCGCCATACCAGTCCGGACGCAACCGAGAGGCCTCCTCATCTTGCCTGATACTCTCGACAGTCTTCGGTAGCCGCAGTTGCTCAGGGGAGCAAGAAATAACATCGCAGAAGTAGTCGAGCACACGGGATATAGTCAAGCGAATCGAGGCCACAAGCTCAGAAGGCAGTACCCGCTGCGCTCTTTCCTTGCCCTTTGTATTACCACTATCGGTATGAATTGCGCAAAATAGCGGAAGGCGCCATGCTTCGTCATCACCACAGTCACAACAGCCACAATTTCCAGATGAAAGCGAAATCTGATATTGATGTCCAGTGTGATCCGAGGAATCGAAGCATCGACTACACAACACGCATGTATCATCTGCAGCACAGGTCACGCATCGGTATGTGGCTTCCCCAGCACGGAAGATATGACCGCAGCGCTTGCCCCGCGCCGCCTCGCTGTACTCTGCTCCTTCCCGGGCACCTTGAGCCTCTGCCAGTTTCCATGGTCCGGCCGGAGTTCCTTCTGGGAACAGCTGCTGTACTAGATCTGTGTTGTGTCCGACAAGCGATCGGAAGAGAAGCTCTAGCAGTTCCTTCTCAGCAGCGGGGCCATAGCGGAAGTTGTGTTTCTTGGGTAACCGGAGAAGACCATCACCGAGCAGCTTCTCACAATCCCCGAGCGTGAACATGATTTTATGTGGCCGGTTTATCGTAGTAGCCGCTCGGGCTATCACAAATGAGTGATGGGACGGAGCTCCGTTGTTGCGACAATGCGCTCAAGGTAGTAATGGTCCGACGCAGGTGGTTTCTTCGCGGGTATGCAGGCGGAAAACAAATTTCAAGTGAGAATTGAAGAGGTCGGTCTGGATCGAGTCGATGGAGTTCTCAGATGTAGTTCAAGTTGCTCACACAGTGATGCTTTGTGGTGGGGGGGGGAAGTGAGAGCAACGGGTGAGGGTTGACCAATGCAGGCGAGCAGATCAGCACATTTACCGGTGAAGTCATACGCGATTTAATTTTGAATATGGAGCTCAAGGTCCAAAAGGTCAACAAAAATTAAGAGAAATCAAATTAAGAGTGTCCGTAGAGACTGGAAGGTAACATTTTTCGCTATGACATCGATGGAACCGGTCTCCCAGTAAACGCCACAGCCACACTACGGCCTGACCTACAGAAAACACGCCACCGTTTCGACAATTGAAGTTATTAAAGACAAAAGTCTGCCGTATTAACGGCCTCTGTATTTGACGATGTAAGACTAGTACTCTGATCTGTTAGGGACGTTTTCTGTGAAAACACTCTGCTATGTTTCCCCAACGTTCGCTTTAGATGTATACAAAGCCAGTCAAAAGGCATAAACCGTACAGAGAATCAGGGAGAATGAAAGCCAAAATCCGAATTTCCATCTATCACATATAAGCCCACATATAGGATGAGAAACAACAGGCACGAGTTTTGGTGGCTTTTTCATGCCCCTTTACCCGCGGTAAGATAAACCCAATATCACCTTCGGTAAGTGCATTCACTCGTCTTCCTCCTCCTTAACCATGTAGCGGTGCTTGATGTCCTTCCATTGACGCTATTAATTGAGATAAATAGTCAGCGTTGGTCCTAGCCTCGGGTATTGTAGTCCATCGGGAAAGAGGTTCACATACGCCCTGGTTCCAGCTATCCCAGACCTTGTTGGAGGTGATGTCGAAGGCGCTATTTGACAGTGGATGGTCAGTGTTCTGTATAAGTTGTACAGCATGTCTCAACACGCTCGGAGACTGGTTGTAAACGCACAGCTCAAAAGCGAAGGCGCCAGCAAAAGCAGTGGTCAGGAGAACAGTATTCTTGCGAATGAAGGTCCTAAACACAACGAAGAGTACCTCAGTTAGATCTCAATTGGAAAATTCCGCGGTCGTAGGGTCTAGAAAGGGGAGACATGCGAGTAGATAGCGTTTGCGAGCTGTCATAGGAGAGATCAGTAAGTGTTGGACATAGCAGTACAATTAGGAGCACTGGAAGAGTGAGTGTAAACATACGCCAGCCATTGTGAGAGATTGGGGTGTTTTCACACGACCTAAATTAGAGAATCGACAAGAGGATGGGGCAACGAAAGTTGAAGTTGTGAGGGTGAAGTTGCGAAGGTTGAATCTGCGGGAATTGCCGGTCCGCTGATTGGCCGAGCCTCCGGCCTTCCGCACTCAACTTTCAATGCTTGCGTTGTTTTTCTCATTTTGATCTTTAAAGACATTGATCTTTGCCTTGGAGCTTGACTTTGTCAAATTGCTCTCATCTTTCTTTTTACGTTGCCACTTTTAACACAAATTTGACACCACACACCACGTCATGGCCTCCAATGTCGCGAGGTCCGGAATTACCACCGATGCCCAAACCGGCGAACGATATATTCCCTCCTCGGTCCGTGCTGACGGTTCTAGGCGCAAGGAGATCCGCGTGCGCCCCGGTTACAAGCCCCCCGAGGATGTCGAGCTATACAAGCACCGGGCAGCGGCATCATGGAAAACCCGAGGAAAAGCCGGGGTGCCGGGTGCGGAAGCATTGAGCAGCGAAGACGACAAGACCAAGACTACAGTTAAGCCCACAACCACCGCCACCACTGCCACCAGCAACAAGAACGCCAAACGCCGCGAAGCCAAGCGAAACGCAAAGGAAACGGACGAAGCCGGTCCCACCGCCGAGGGCAGGGGCGCGTACTCAAACAACTGGCGTGTCCCGGCACCTACACCTAAGAAGGAAGAGAAGCTCACTGAAGAGCCAGTTGATCTCGAAGCCGAAAATGAGAAAAAGGCCCGCGGTCTGAAGAAGAAACTCCGCCAGGCGCGGGATCTTCGCGATAAGAAGCTACAGGGAGAGGCGCTGCTGCCGGAGCAGTTGGAGAAGGTCATTAAAATTCAGGAACTTGTCCGGCAGCTGGATATTTTGGGATTTGATTCCAATGGCGACAAAAAGAATGGTGACAGCAATGAGAATCCTTTTTAAGACTTCAAACCCGGGTTCAGATTAGATTCAATATCCCACACCCATGCGTCGAGTATATGCCAGTGTGCATATCTTTGTCAACAGGGCTTCCTGCAAGCACACCCTGCGACATCTATCGGGGACCATTGGACTATTCTATATCATTGTTACAAGTGATTGGAAGTTTGGTGTGGGAAACACTGCCTATATACATGTGTGGTAGGACACATTGCAACCAATCGGTTCCAGCCCTCCGGCCACGCATCGCTTCGTCTGTGAGGGTGTACGGATGCTGCCACATCTATCCGCTTTTCTTCAATCAGTCTTCTGGGTACTCTCACCCTGGTGGGATCAGGGCTGAAGAAGGCAACAGACTTCACAAATGGAAAAATCTAACCTTTTGTGAACCGACCATGGGCTGGTGGTGAATTAGACATTAGAAATTGACTATAGGATATACGGCCAATGCCGGTGATTTGAAAACAACGAAAAGCTATTGTTACAAAGATGCATCTACTATACATGGCTTGGTCCTTCTCTTGTGTACATTCCCAAGTAAAAGTAACAAAACCGCATGAGCCCGTCACTGTGCATCAGATTTTGGAGTCAACCAGACGAACAGGAGACGTCACAATGCCACCCTCGAGTCTCCAGCGTCTATAATCAAAGGAAGTCCACGGGCGCCACGGACTGGGCTCATCATTGAGCTTATTCCTTCCAATGCCGTAAGTGGCAGATAGGATGCCCTGCTTGACACAGTCACCCACACTCACGCCATTATACCAGTTTCCCGCGAGAATAAGCCTGTTGTGGTACTCCTTGCGAACTGTGTTCGAGAGCGTATACATGCGGTCCAGATGGCCGACTGTGTACTGAGGAATAGCATCCTTCTGGAGACGACTCCGCGCAACAGTTGGGGCATCAGTGATATTCATGTGTCTCTTGAGTATGTCGCGGGCCATTTTCACTGCGGTATCATGGTCTGGATACTCTTCAAAGCCATCCCAGTAATGTCCACCTAGCATGATGGTAAGTTTGGTTCCAGGTGCGGAATCTTGGCTGAGTTCAGATGACGAAGGATCCGTTCCGTTCCCTACACTAGAGGACGAGGCGAAGATGACACCAAGTGCACATTCTGGGTTTTGCTCATAGGGTATCGATCGCGGTATGAGGTACCCAAAGCCATCTTCCACGGGTAGAAGGTTGGGGTTTGGGTAATAGAGATTAACGACCATTACCGTCACGGCGTAGTCCTGTTTGCGTAGTAGAGATGGGGTCAAGCCGACAGGGCTCAGCTTGGCCTGTGACTGCTCGGGTTTGCGCAAGACGTTCGCAAGTGCAACTGGGGGGATAGTAGAAATGACATATTCATAGTCAAACGTCTTGTTTTGACCGTGCCTGGCTGACCAATATTCCATCTATTGACAGTCAGCGTCAATCTCAGGGCCCAGGGAGCTAGGTAGCATGGCAAAGCAGAGTGATTCACATACCGCAATCCTGCTTGAACCTTCCCATGCACTCAAAGCTTTGACGTCCGTGTTCATTCGGAAGTGGACTTTGCCGGATGCTTCCAAAGAAGCGATCAGTGCTTCAATAAGCTGGGCAACTCCCCTCTTAAATGTGAAAGTAGTAGCTCCAGCCGCGAGGACTTCTAAATCTTGCTGACGGCGCACTAATTCAGGGCCTGCAGGCATGACATCGATAGCCATAAAATCATCCAAATTTCGAGAGTTTGTTTTGGAGATCGACCTGGAGATAAGAGATGCCGTAACTCCACCAGAGACCAACCCGCCAATGCCCCCAATGCCTCCCTCAAGGTTGCGGACGCTACCCAACAATGTCTGGGCACTCAATCGATCTATATCACCAGCATAAATTCCATGAAACACAGCGGAGACTATGTTGTTTGCAATGTTGGGGCCAAAACGACGTCCGATGAAATCCGCAACTGACTCATCCTCCGCCCATTCAGTTGGGTGCCGAGGGGGAGTGAAGACGTCTTTCACCATTCCCGGAATAAATTTGTTGAAAACTGGCTCCTTCATAGTATTCACAAAGCTGTCGAAGTTCTGCCCAAAAGAAAGTTTAGGTTTCGGTGTCGGCATGCGAACGAGACGGTCTGGGTAGTAGATGTAGCGATTCTGGGCTGCGGGGCTCGTGCTCGGGGTAACAATGAGGTCATTGTACAAGCCTAGATTTATAGCCTTTGAAAGAGGTCAGCATATCAAGCTGTTTCAATTGCAAGTGCGTACATGGCAGCAATACTCACTAGGTAAAGCAGAGGGAGTGATCCTGGCAGCGAGCTCCTTAACGTCCGCGGCCCATACTCGAACACGACATTACCACCATCGACAGGGACCGTTTCGGAGTTGATCCAACCACCGAGCCGGTCCGTTTTCTCGAACAGGTTGATTGTTCGGCATGTGGGGTCTTGCGCGAGTTGCCAGGCGGTTGTGAGGCCTGTGATGCCACCGCCAAGCACGGCAGCGGTGTATGTACGTTTTTGACCATTGAGGAGAATTATCAATTGCCTTTGTCTCGGTCTTAGTGCCCTAGAGACACATGGTAGTCGCATCTCTGCTAATCGGGGCAATGTCTGGTCCGCAGTTGGTTGGAGTATTCAAGCTAAACCCGAAGGTCCTCGGAGCCTTCCGGTCTTACATAAGCCCTGCGGGGAGGCGGGCCTGGAGCCCACCCGGGTCCCCGTGATGTCTTACAACATACAAGTTCGCATCATGATTCGTGAGACATTCGCGAATTTATCTTCGCTTCGGTATTATTCTTTTTAAGATCAACGGGGGAATCTATGAACAGGACAGATAGTAATATCTGAAACAAAAGCAAATGCATAAAGAGTATCAACGCCCTTCCCTCCAGCCATTCCTCGTTCATTGGTCAAGATCGGATTGTACATGGTATTCTTCGCTTCGGAAACAGAAGGTTGTGGGATCTTTGTTTTTCTGATTCTTGATTTTTGAACAGTGTTTTTTCTTCATCGTGTCATGTAAGACGGAGTCACGCAGTCAGTTCGTGGCGCTGGGTGTTCTCCTCGGTCTCCGGCTTGATCAACTCTTGAGGTCCATCCACATCCGCAACAAACTTGCGCTCGCTGACATGTTCTCCAGAGCGTGGAGTCCACACTTTGTCGGCGTAAGCACCGCGCTGACCCTCGGCGTGCTTGTAGGTGCACTTGGGGTTCAAGCAGGGGTTGAATTTGCAGGGGGTCTCAACATGTGTAAACTTGCATCCTTCAGTCTTGCAGTCGGCTCCATTGCGGCAGACTGGCATGCTCGGGTGCTTGAAGTGACAGGTGGGGTTAGTGCAGTGAGGGAAGAACCGACACATAGCCTCGGCCTGGTGGGCAGATCGTACTGCTGGTGAAGGGTGGCGCCCGGTACATTTCTTGTTCTTGCAAGCTGCACCGAATGAACAAGTGTCAGAAGGATCGATCGAAGTGCCTTCGGGTGCGGCAGGTGATTGATGAGCGAATGGGCAATCCTGGCGCGCGCATCGTTGGTTGAAGCGACAAACACTGTCGGGGTTAATTTCATCTTGTTCACCACCCGTCATGCTGTCCATGTCCACATCAGCGCCTTCTGCCACTCTCGACTTGTTGTAGCCACGCTTGCCTCCACGCTGGCCACCTCGCTCCACCCGATTGAAGAGCGAACGACCATGAGAGCCATTCTGGGCACCAGTTTGGAAAGCAGGGTTAACAGCGGGTGGCATGAAGCCGGGCATGAACTGAGACATCAGTCGGGCCTGTTCTTCTAACATCGACATAAGCTGCATCTGGTTTTCGGGGGTCATTTGCATCATGGGATTGCCTGGAATTCCCATGCCACGGCCACCGCGACCACTTTGCTGTCCGGCGCCTCTCATTTGACCCCGAGCGTTGTGACCAATGCGCCCGTTTCCTTGTCCGCGCACACGATGCAGAGCCGCATCCGAGCCACGGTCTAGGTTTCGATTGATTTGGTTCAACATTCTCCCCTTGCCACCTCTGCCGTTGCGCATCGCTTTCGGTCCGGTGGGGCTATTGAATAGCACTGTCAGCATGATGTAGACAGCGGCTGAAAGGCATGGTAAAAACTTACATCGACTCATTTCCGGCCTCGCCCATCTCAGCATCTTGCCCGTTGGTCTCTCCAAATGGATTAGGCATCGCTTGGCCTGAGTTGTCAAATTCCATTGCCGAAGGATTCAACATGGTCGCGTTAGCCGAGGCTGGAACAACCCCGTTGATTTGTTGGTTGAGCATCTCGACTTGATTGAAAAGCCATTGTGAAAACTCGAGCGCCGCAGTGTCGCCTTCCTGGAGGCCAAGAAAATCGTTTGAAAGTTCAGTGGCGATTTGCTCTTCGGTCTTGCCGTTGACCAGCATGAGAACGATGTATTCGATCAGTGGTGACTCTTGACCATCACTCCAACCCATCTCCACTAATTTAGGCTGGATGACGTTTGCGACTGCTTGCGCAAGAGGCGTATCCAAAGTGATTTGAGGCAGCATGGTGAAGGCGATTGTGAATTCAGGGAAAAGTGACAGGTTGGTGAGAAATTCACAAAAAGAGAGCAGTGCTGATTAAAGAACTTGCGCCACCCGATAAAGGTGTTTCGGATCTTATCAGCGCAACTAACAATGAAGATGCGATGAAAACGGTTTGTAGTAGTTGTCGAGGTAAGAAATGGGGTTAGTAGACCAGTATCAAGTTCGGGTAGGGAAAGTAAGGCTTTAAGCAAGCAGATTGAAGTGAAGCTAAAGACCCGATGACCAGAACGGAGTTTGATCACGTGGCTGTGCTTGGCCGCCGGCGGTGTGGTGAGGCAGTACATACAATGCAAACAACCACCACATCTGCTGTCAAGGTCGATCTTGCTACCAAACAAAAAGAGCTCTTGCTTTTCCCTACAGGCATTAAAAAATCATGTGTTGATAATCAGACAAATAGGGAAAAAAAATTGTGTAGTTGAAAGGCAGAAGCAGGAGTGGAGTTTGAGTCTACCAAGACTGGGTTATATATGCACAATGGCTATTATTCATTCTCCCACTAAAGTATTGAGCTGTGTTGCGATGAATGGGGTTAACTGGTTTCAGCACACAAAAGAGAAGCATCCAGACAAAGAACATTGAACTTACTGGTCCACTGATCCTGAGAAAGGAGTGCTCTTCTTAAGAAAGTGGCCTAAAGCATGAATATGTTGCGCCTGAAAGATTAAGCCTCTTTCACTGCCTCTGGCCTTGATGAAGAGAGTGCACATAACAGTGCCAATCGCCCAACACTGTGTGATACTAAATTGATTATATCTATTTTTTAAACCCGCTATATAGTGAAAGGGAGTATATGTCTACACACCTCATTTGAAAAGACTTTAATTTGGTTTTCATAGCAGCAAGATATTCTTAATGCAATAGAATATTGAAGGACTATGTTACATCTAGTTGTGTGTTTGAAATGATTCTCACTCTTTTATGTTAACTAGTTAGTTTGTTTTAGAACTATCATATTTTAATGCTCTAATTTCTCTTTGAGCAAGTTCGAGGGCTGATGAGAAAGAATAATTTAAACTTTCTTTCCTGTGTACCTTTCATATGGGCACACCTTTTAAAATGTGCCTAATTTATTTCATCGTTGTGACAATTATCGTTGACTGGGGTGCACCAACACAGGGTATGTGTGTGTTGGGCGCGTGGCACAGAGACATTCGTTTGGCTATAGGAGAGTGCACAAAGCACTGGTGATCTTTCCTCTCGGAATCATATGCCATCAATCCCTGCCCACCGAGGTATCATGCCTTTGCCATGCAGCCATCTTCTCTAGATCTTCAGTGTCCCCAAAAGAATTACATATACAGTATGAAACCGAGATCACACCTAGATCCCAATGGGAGATCCCAGTGAGGATTTGTGCCGAGCCAAGCCCTGAACTGAGATATCAAAGCAAACCTTGGAAGAGAGATTTAAGAACAAAGTATTAAGTCACATAAAGCGGGATTCGCAAGCCCAACTCCTTTAGGCTATCCTTTTACACCTGTTTAGGATTTGGGGAATACATATCATTGGATACCACAAGATTATACGACATGATCTGGAAAATTGGGGTGTTTGTGCCCTGGGATTGATGAATGCTGAAACCCATATGGCGCGCACTGTTTGACAAATCCATCTTCATAAATTAGGGTTTCCTCCAATACGTTTTCTAACATTTTACTTGTAATGTTCTTACTTTAAACGTGCCTCCTCGAAGCCAGAAGGCAGACTAAACCCAATTTGGCCCAGTGCAACGACGCCATGATCGAAGACTTTCTCACAGGGATGATGCTCAGCAAGACCTCACTATTGCTTCTGGGACTATTCAGTGCATTCTGCGTATTCCACAAGTTTCAGGCTTCAGCGCAAATTGCCCGTCTAGGTGTAAGGGCTCCTAAAATTGAGTTCCATCTTCCGTACGCTCTTGACTTCATCTTCCAAGGCTACCAAGCCAATCAAGTAAACCGCGACATGGAATTCTGGGATTCAAAAGTTGGGCATGCAGGTGGCCTAACAAATGTGAAGACAGCCGAACTCGACGCCGGCATGATCATCACCAAAGACCCAGAGAATATCAAGGCACTTCTCACCGGCCAGTTCGCCGACAATGGTAAGGGCGAGTCCTTCCACCAAGAGTGGAAGGAGTTCCTAGGCGACAGCAGTTTTGTCACAGACGGGGAATTATGGTCTCGCTCCCGTCAGCTGATCCGTCCAATGTTCGTACGTGACCGCATCATCGACACTGAGATCTTCGAGAAGCATGTTCAGAAACTCATCCCGCTTCTCGGCGGCAGTTCCTCACTCAGCAGCAGCAAGATAGTGGACGTCTGATCTCTATTCTTCCGGTATACTCTCGATGCAACAACAGATTACCTGCTCGGCAAGGGTACAAACAGCTTAGAAAACCCAGCAACGCGATTTGCTGAAGCGTTCAGATATGTGCAACAGCGCCAAGCAGAGTACTTCCATTTCGGGTGAGTGATGCTCGATCCTGTACGACGCAAGTACAGCCTTTTATTGGAGCCTTGCAAAAGCTAATCTACAACCTTACCCTAAAACAGTGTCTCTAGCAACGTGATGTCACGCGTTGAATTCCGAAAGAACCTTAGATTATAGACGAGTTCATCCAGCCATATTTTGAAACCGTCCTTTCCCACTCAGCTGGCGAACTCAAAGAGAAGATCTCAAGGAGCGAGACCTTTCTCGATGCCCTAGCCAGCTTCACCCGTGATCCCCGCGTCCTCCGTGACCAACTCATCGCTGTCCTCCTCGCAGGTCGCGACACAACAGCCGCAACGCTATTCTTTTGCATCTTCGAGCTCTCTCGCAACCCAAAAGTCGTAGCGAAGTTGCGCGACGAGATCCACAACAGACTCGGCGTCGGTGCCAAGGCCCAGAAACCCAGCTACACCGATCTCAAAGAAATGAAGTACCTCAACGCAATGCTGCATGAGACGATGCGTTTATATCCAGTTGTGCCATTCAAAGTGCGCTACTCTCTACGCGATACGACGCTTCCACGTGGTGGTGGAGTGGACGGGCTAGCGCCTGTGGGAGTTCGCGCAAACTCGCGCATTTTCTACTCGACGATGTTGATGCAGCGGGATCCTGACTTGTATGATGGCCCGGGATCGGAGAACTATTTCGAACCTGGGGAGTAGGTTCCTGACCGGTGGGTTTCCGGCTGGCAGCCCAGGCCATGGCATTTCATTCCATTTAAAGGTGGACCGCGAATTTGCATTGTGCAGCAATTTGCTATAATCGAGATGAGGTACACTGTTCTTCGGATCCTGCAAGTTTATGAGCGCATTAGTGCGCTGCCAGTTGGTGGGAAAGGCAAAGTTGAAGATCCAGTGCTTCACTTTGAAGTTACCCTCAGTCCTGGCTCTGAGCTGAATTGCGTTTTCCTGAAGGAGGGCGAAGAGGCTGCGCACAGTGCTGCCACGACGGGTGTTGCTTGAGCTGTGGTTGATAATCGTGCCAAGCGCCCAACACACCTTCGTGTATTGGTGCACCCCACTCAACGATAATTCTCACTCAACGATAATTTTTCAAGTTCACATCAACTTTCTTAGCGTTTCACACTCTACCACGATGGCCGATCAAATTGAAACTCTCGAGGATCGAATTTCAAAGGGTATCAATGCATTTCGTCAAGCCAAAAATCCTAAAATCGCCCCGTTGGCGCGGGAATAGATATTAAACCTTAGGTTTGATATCAGGGTTCCGTACCAGCTACTAGGCGCCCGTATCCACGGGCGCGGTAGTAAAACCAATGCTACAAGCGCCAAAAAGACCCTAAATCCTATCTAGGAAAGGGCATTGAAAACCTGGATCGATGCCCTATATATCTAAAATAGGGATACCCACCATCCCTCATTGAAAAGACTGCAAATGTAATTCTATAACGCGCCGGCAACGATCAGGTGGTAGGCCCAATGTGGGTATACCGCTATATACAAAGATTACCACCTGAGATACCCTATATCAACCTAAAAATGGCCGAAGAAGTGAGGGTTGATAGTGAGTAATACGCCCCAATGTTACTTTGGTTTAATAGCCTCCGTATGCTATTTGAAAAGCATCAATTCCGACCCTATAAGATCTTTAATTGGGATAAAACTGGCTACCAAATTGGCCAAGGTAAACGGCAAAAGGTGCTAGCACCTTTTGCTAACTATACCAACCCAAATGGTGGTCAAAAGGAATCAACTACTGGTATTGATGGATGCAAATACTCTTTTGTCCCAAGAAAATGCATTGCTAAGGGCCAAATTAAAGAAGGCTCGTATAGCCATTTCTACTGTAAATGCCCCGAGAAATGGTAGATCTATTCTTGGGTCTAGGGCCTCGGTACTATCACCTATATACGCAAATAGGAAGATGGTGGCTAGGCGAGAGGCTGATTCTAAAAAGTTGAAGCGCATGCATGCAAAACATGCCAAGGATTTAGAAGCTACACAACAGGCCCAAAAGACTAGGGATCTAGCTGATACTGAACACGAAGCTTTAATGGCGGCAAGAGATAGCAATGGTGGAAATTGGGTTGTAGATAGTTATGGTGCTTATATGTAAATATGGAGTTGAATGCATTTATTACCTCGAAAATTATCGTTGAGTGGGGCGCACCAATACACGAAGGTGTGTTGGGCGCTTGGCACGATTACTTCGACTTGCAGTGCGAAATTTTTCAGACATGAATATATACCCTGCCTTTGGCTTTTGGATCATGGTCAAAATGAACTTTTTTTTTAAGTAATCGATAGTAAGGTTTCGTGGGAAAGGCGCCCTCCAAGCAAATGTCCCAAAACTAAGGACTATACAAGGCACCGCTTCTGATTGCCAACCCTAGCATAACGATACAGAAGAAGAGTGCCTTCAATAAGAAGTTGTTGTGAATCCAGCATAGACAGCCATGTGCCACTAGTTACCTTTATTTCCCAAACAATTTATTTTCTTTCTAACTATATCCTACAAACAAAAGATTCTATAGGTGAGCAAACAATGTATGGCCTATATCTGCGTCAAATTTTGCGTAACAAAATCGAGCCATTTGCCTCTTAAGTGTGAGCTGCCATTTTTAAAAGAACAACATGTAGTTTAGGCGGCGTAGTAGGCCTAGAAGGCAGCAATGCTGCTTTAGTTACGTCTTGAAGGGGAATTCTTGCAGAGTCTTGGAGATAAGGGGTGTAAGGTAGTCCTTAAGCTCCTCGCCTACTGGAGAGTAACTAAGATAATGAAGACTGTTTACCCGGCGGTTACATTAACTATATTGTCTGGGTATTTAAACCTAGAGAATAGATTTATGACAAGGAAATTTGGGGCCGAGACCGAAAATACCGCGATTTAGTTTGTGAGAAATTCCATGAGTTTTACAAGTATATTAGTTCCTAGAACTTATCGTTGGCTCGTTCTTCGTATTAAAATAAATTGACAATAACAACTTGCTTATTGGATTTTCCCTGATTTTTCGTCCTTTATAACGAACATACTTTTTAGTAATACGTACTCTCCTATTAGCTAGAAATATTCTTCCTCCGTCTTGTAATTTCCTAAATTCACTTTCTAGCCATAGTATCTCCTTACAATACCTTGTAAGTATCTAGGTAGGTTTTATAGCCAAGTAACCGCTTATCTTGAATTGTATACTCATTTTACTAATTTACCGTATACCAGTATGTATTAGTTAACGTGGGTCTCTATTGTTTAATAATATTTTTCTGTTTATATGTGGAAGAAACGAGGCGGTGATCAAAATGCCTTGGAATCAGATTAAGTTAGGTAGGTAGGGGGTCGTGCTTAGTTAAAATTCACTAGCCTCCCGACGGCTATGTAGGGAACGTCTAGCTCAACTTCCTACACTTTTCCCCTTGTGCTAAATCATCTCCATAGCATTCTAATAACGTTTGGATAGGCTAATGTCACATATTCAGCGGCTGACCTTGATATCGAGGCGCTCTATGTTTTCCTTCGCCAAAAAGTCTCCCTGGTAGTTACCAATAAACTTAGGTCCTCCAATTCCTCAGAAGGAACTTGTTGATGAAGAGGTTTGTCCTAGCTATAATCTAGTGTCAGGGTGCGGGCTGGCAGGACGGTATGATAGGAGATGACTGGTAGAAACAGGTCATAACAGATCAGATTCCAATTGACAGGTACAGGCAGGAGCAGGCTATTATACAAGACGTAGCTCGAAGAGCTACAACAGGATCTAGAACTGAAGTTCAGATAACCAGGTCGGAGATCACGTGCCGTGATCTTCCTCTTACTAAGCATCACGGTTCGCACCGTGACACAAATCATCTCAGGGGGTGTTGCAGCCTCACAACCACAACGTGCTACACCCGGGGTTTCGGTTAGCGCCTCGATGCTGAAAGCGCTATTGGAAATATACAAGTGTTTTCCGAAGCGACCTTAAACCCACCATCACCAACCAGTTTATTTTATGTGCTGTGTACTATGTTGACCGGCGAATCGCCCAACACGCCGCCAATAAAGGCCATTCTGGAAACAAGTCATGTTAGACATGGCGTTTCCAAAAGCTCTTGAGGAGAGTTCAATGGTAGTATTTCTGGTGTTGCAAGCGAATTATGCTGTTTTGAGTAGAATGTATAGCGCCATTTTTTTTCTACTTGTACTTGTATTTCAGGCAGAACTGAAAAAAAAATCCAGAGGCTGACCTTATGTCTAAGTACTCTGACAGGCGGAGTAGGAGTCAGGGAGTCATGGAGTCAGATGAGATTTTACGAGTGGTTTCTAGTATCTTTCTGGCTGCTTGTAGTAATAGCTAGGAGTGAGGGATAAGACGTTTTGTCGTTTAGAAATACTAATTATACTATTTAAAGCTGTCAGGTTGTCAGGTTATTCCAACTTGTAAGCTGCAAGTGCCAAATAGTAGACTAGTAGTCACTGTTTAAAGTGCCTAATGCCCGCTATATCTTATTTTATTGTTCACCTCGGAGCCCGGTCATAATTTACATTCTTGGAGCAACTCACTAACGGCTGGAGTTCATGGGAGGTTGCGCATTCTCAAGTTATGGGTTCATCAAATGGATATGAACCAACGGACCCTAACGACCCACCCCCACCCCCGCCTCAGCAACCTCTTGCATGTCTATGAAGCAGGCTATGTTCTATGTCTGTGGCCTTGCTAGTGTTGCGCCATAAATTACGAACAGCGCTCCACTCAATTATTTGATCCAGAAACGATGAAATTCCTGCTTTCTGTCACCTTGAGCATCCAGCCTCTGCTCATTTCTACGGCCTTTTCCCACTGTCCGAATTTGGCAGCGCTCTCTTGTAGCGGGACCTGGGGATCGAAGACCACACCACCAGAACGATTGAGATCTCGCAGCTCGGCAAAGTTGTGCCAAAGTCCAATGGCAAGGCCAGCTGCGATTGCTGCACCGAGAGCTGTAGTCTCACGCATCTCAGGACGGTAGACAGGGATGGATATCAGATCTGCTTGGGTCTATATTTGATCTGGGGTCAATTCTTGTTCAAATACTCATTGATGGATAAGAAGATATAATTTCCTACCTGCATTGCCAAGTCCGAGTTACTCATACCCCCATCTACAGCCAGTTCGGAGAGTGTATGGCCGCTGTCTTTTTCCATTGCGTCTAGAATTGCTTTAGTCTGGAAGCAGGTTGCCTCTAGGGTAGCGCGTGCGATGTGGCCCTTCTGGGTGTGTTGGGTGATACCAACTGTACACACTGTCAGAATAAATTTAACAGTCTGGTAGTCATAAACTCACAGATTGTCCCTTTCGCATCATCAATCCAATAAGGTGCAAAAAGTCCACTGAAGGCAGTGACAAACACACATCCACCATTGTCGTCCACCGAGTAGGCAAGGTCATCGACCTCCTTAGATTCCTGGAAAAAATTCAAATTATTCTGCAGGAATTTGATGCCAGACCCAGCAACAGCAATGCTCCCCTCTAGTGCATAGATGGGCTTTCCACCAAAGTGGTAGGCTACCGTAGCCAGCAATCCATGTGTCGAAAACACTGGCTTGTCACCAACATTGTACAAAAGAAAACATCCAGTGCCATAAGTGTTCTTGGCCATTCCAGGCGAGAACCCTTTCTGTCCAACCAATGCGGCAGACTGATCCCCCAGGCATCCCATAATCGGAACCTGCGCCAAAGCCCCAGAAGCAACAACCCCGTATGCCGTCGGATCAGACGAAGGCACAATCCTAGGTAAATGAACGTTCCATCTGATCCCAAAAAATTCCAGAAGCGTCTCATCATAACGTAACGTCTCCAAGTTCATAAACATGGTCCGTGACGCGTTTGTCGAATCTGAGACAAACACGTTGGCAGCCACGCCACCGTTCAAACAATATACCAGCCAAGAATCGACGGTACCAAACGCCAGTGTGCCGCGGATAAATGCATCCTTCACTCTCGGGACATGCGCCAACATCCAGAGCAATTTTGTAGCCGACGAGTAAGTTGACAGCGGCAGACCGCAGAGGGTCTGGATCTGTGCTGCCCCTGGTTTCTGTTTCAGTTCTACGACAATCGACTGGGAGCGTGTGTCTGTCCATACAATAGCATTGTACAGGGGCTCGCCGGTCTTGTGGTCCCAGACTATGGTCGTTTCACGTTGGTTGGTTATCCCGATGCTTTGGATGCTGCTTCGATTGTAACCTTGCGCTTCGAAATTCTGAACGGCTTCTTCGATACAGGTCTCTACTGAGATCATAATCTCGAGGGGGTCATGTTCGTGCCAGCTAGGAATGGTTAAAATTGCACACAAGCTGGGCTTTAGGTCTGGCCTGTGGATCGGACTATAACTTACCCCGGGATCGGGTATATTTGGCTGAATTCAACTTGATGTGATGCTACTGGCTCACCCGCGCGGTTGAAGATTAGAAATCTGGTGCTCGTAGTGCCTTGATCAATTGATCCCACAAAAGTCTCTGGTGGCTGCATGGCTATTAGGTGTTATGGAGAAATCTGTGAGGAAGGAAAGCATATGATTCGTCTACTGGCACATACACAAGATGTCAAACCTGTGATTCAACGATCAAACCAAAGCGCAGAAGAAATCGATCTACAGCGGGAGATCCTAATCACATATATAAGAAGCCTCTACACATAACAGTTTTACCGTCACACAGCGGGATGCTAATTTGAAGAATGAGGGGAAGACGCCGAGAGAAGAGATTGGGGATGTTTCCCTGGTCAGATATGAGATGGAGAAGTGAGAACGGACTGTGCGACGTATTGTATTGGTTCTTCGTGTCGATCCGTTCTTGGAATTGAATTGTCAGATTATCTAGGAGTGCACTTTGACCTAATTTAGGAAAAGACATCCTCGTGAAACCAACCCTTTCATCCCAAATTTCCTTCCAATCCTGTCAGCATGACCTTCCTCCATCTTATGGGGGGAAATCAGCAGACGATGAACGACTCGGTTTATTTGACAAAGTGTCAGATCCAAATTGGGTGGGGAATTACGCATTGACTCGGTCTTATTCCAATGTCATATAAGCAGCACCGGCAGGCCAGCCAGACATTTGCCGACTAAACGGTCCAGATCACAACTATTCAACGGTTGGGAATTGAAAATTTTATCTGCAAGCCTAATTCAGCTTATAAATTTCTTTAATGAACACTGCGGTGTTAACCGCTGGAGCACAAGACATCACTTCTACCACATCCGCAGAGTCAAATCCGATAACCCCGGTCTTGGTGATCCTACCTCTTAGCAGATAGTCACACGGTCAGCGGTCAATTGTGTCACTGCCAACAAGAAACGAAAAGCGATAAAATACTACCCTTATCATCATCGTGGGGGAAGACCAATCTCTTTTTCGCTCCTCGTGCCTCCATTTACAGAAGCCTACCGCTATGTTAAGGTGACACAGTTTGGACTTTCTCGAAAATTGCAATTGGGCCTACGTAAAGTTTGGTACCCGAAAAGTTGAAGATGAGTAACAGAAGACATACCCGCTTCTTCCTACAGTCATGATAGTTATGGCAAATACCGGTAAGCGGGAGCTATTCACAACATTGCGGTGTCCAAGAAGTACCCAAAGGAGAGGAAACAACCCAACCGGGATCGGACAGTTACCTCCGGCCACCCAGGCCAAACGGTTTTTCTACAAACGGCCTTTGCAATAAACTATGAGAAGAGATGCGCTGTCAGAAAAGTTTGCTTTGTGCGGAAGACAAAAAAAAAAACACGGCGACAAAAGGGACCGTGGCTGGCCCAGCCAATGCAATATAAGGAACTTGTGTACTTGATTTTTCCGAGTCAATTCGGATCTGATTTCTGCTAATATCTTCCCTGCAAGCTTGCACGCCCTCTAAAGCTCTGGAGCTTGGAACCGGGAGGACAAGACACACAGACACACACTCTCTCTTCCAGGATAAGACCCTGCATCAGCCAATCGACCGACCCGCTTGTACTAAGGAGAGCACAGATTGAGTGCAAAGGGTTGGTTACACAGTCGTTCCTACTTCTGTGCCGTTGATATAACAGAAGAACTTCCTTATCACTTTGTGTGGTTGGCGAGATTACCTCAGTTGGTCGTGCTATATCAACTCGAAGCCCCAACCCTGGCCCCCGGGGCTTGGTCTCTTTCAATGGCTACCTGGAAGGAGCTTGAGCAAGATCCAATGTCAAAAGTCCACCGTGAAACTCTCTCCTCGGCTATTCGTGACAGTGGCTGTGGCTCACTGTGTCTGACTGATAAGGACAAAACGGTCATCCATCACATCAACCCGGAAATCGAAAGCCCTTATACTCGCCCCCTACTCTGGTTCAAAGTGAGGGAGTACTGCCGCGATGCTTTCTCGGAGTTCTTTGGGACGATGATCTTGATTTTATTTGGGGATGGAGTTGTTGCCCAGGTGCTACTTAGTCATGGCCAGAAGGGTGACTACCAATCTATCTCTTGGGGGTGGGGGTAAGGCTCTTCTTCTTCCTAAATCATCTCTCCATGCTCCCTTTTAACCAACCAAACTCATCAGGCTCGGCGTCATGCTCGGGGTATACGCCAGCGGGGCATCAGGAGGTCACATTAATCCCGCCGTGACATTTGCAAATTGCGTCCTCCGCGGCTTCTCCTGGCACAAACTCCCCGTGTACGTACTAGCGCAGATTTTTGGCGCAATGTGCGGTTCTGCGATTGTGTATGGTAACTACAAGTCAGCCATCAACACCTACGAGGGTGGGCCAAATATCCGCACAGTCCCCGGCTACTCGACAACAGCAACGGGCGGCATCTTCTGCACCTACCCCGCAGAATTCATGACAAAGACAGGGCAGTTCTTCTCCGAGTTCATTGCCAGCGCGGTCTTGATGTTCATGATATTCGCTCTGAAAGACGACGGCAATCTTGGCGCCGGGCCGCTGATGCCTCTGGCGCTGTTCTTCGTTATCTTTGGAATTGGCGCTTGCTTTGGATGGGAGACCGGATATGCCATCAACCTGGCACGGGACTTTGGGCCTCGGCTGATGTCTTACATGATTGGATATGGACATGAAGTGTGGACTGCAGGGGACTATTACTTCTGGGTAAGTTTTATCTGGGCATTATATGCATCAGGTTTTGTAGATTTTATCAGCTTACAGCCATCGTCTTAGGTGCCTGTGGTTTCACCAATACTAGGCTGCACCTTCGGGGGATGGATCTATGATCTTTTCTTGTATACTGGGGCGGATAGTCCGATCAACACACCTTGGATGGGACTTAAGAGGCTGTTTGGACCTTTAAACCAAAAGCGAGTCGTACTGCAAAGTCCAGTCTGACACAATCCTATCCTTACGCATGAAATCCCTAATGTAGGTATGGAGTGGTGGTGAGCACTGCACTGAATTTGTTTAATTCTTTATCTTCTTCAGATCTTTTTAAAGATAATCAAATGTGTAAAAAGGGGTGGAAATCAGCTATGATTGTTGTGATTAATGTTTTGCACTAATCAGCCGGTTTCTACAGCGTTCTTTTAGCATCATGCAATCTACATTCAAGATTTCCATTTGATTTACAACCTTTAATATTTTCTCCTCTCTTTGAGTCTTTTTTTTCGGTCGTGAACCGAATCTGTAGCGACTATGTAGACAAGTCACAGGGTCTCTAAAATATCTCCCGAGAGTTGTATCTTCGGGACTAGCTAAAAGACTGTATTATCTTTGAACCAGCAATTGAACCAACAAAACACATCAATTGCATAGAACCATGTCTCTCTATCTAGGCTTTATGATTTCAGAAGAGAGCATAACATCCGTAGCTGGCCTGCTTTTCAACTAGCACATGACGTGGTGATGTTTGTTGTTATCCCTGGGCGTGGTGATGGCCTTCTTTGAGCAAACCCTCACAGGTGTGGTGTGATGTTGGGCGGTTGGAACGGTTAACCCACTAAACCCAGAAATTGGAAATCTTTTGCTACTAACCTTAAAGATAGGCGTAGGGGTGACCCTAGGATCCGTTTAATCCTCCAACACTTAGTCACATCCTCGTTTCTCGCAACATTCTTCCCAAACCTTGTCTAATCTACAGAGTCTTCTAGGATTCACTGTGGACGCGGTAAGCGCCCCCGATTCCTTAGATCAACAAATACAGGAAAAGGATATCCCTGCCTTTAATCAAATGCCACTACTAGAGCACTGTTTAAAAAGTGTTTGATTCTTTGCTTCCTAGTAAATTGCCATGCACGAGCCTGTATACAACTCTACTTTACACTGCGGACTACTCATTTGGTACTACCCCAGATACAAAACTGGCCTACCCTAATGTCCGTGTCTATAGGAAAAATCTTGTCAATTGTCGATATTGTGGCATTAGCGATTGCCACTTTTACTGCAATACCGCGTCACGTTGCATAGACATCTTCTTATCTCTTCCTAATCTCTCCCCCCGGTGCCTAAACTTGTTTCGGGATATGCAAGAAGACGGGTGACAAAGCATGCTATCGTGGCCTTTGGTCCTATTGACTATCATTGTCGGCAAAGATTATTCATCCCTATTTCCCTCGTTGGATAAGAAATTGCATGCCTCTATGTTGGTTCTCTAACTGCTATTTGGACTCGATTGCTCCATCGTCTCGTTTCAATGCATCTGTACTTATACATAGATCAAAAGTTTCTTGTTACAGATACGCAAAAGAAGCCAAACATGCAAGCAATGCACCCAAGTTATCAGAAATCGGGTCCAAAGAAAATGACACAAGCAAGATAAGAGTGAACTAAAGGGAAAATAACCCTACTAGCAGTCTCAGTCTGCTCTCCACAATTATAAGGCATAGTCGCCTCCGGGGCGGCCCCCGAAGATGTGGGACTCCGGGATTTTCAAAGCTAAACCCCGACCATCCAACAATCCCGTTGATCAAAAATCAAATTTCGTGAGTGATAGCATACCTGTTACATAAATGCTACGCAGATGGAATGTCACTAGAAAAAAACACTTCATGCACGAAGAAAAAGAGAAACTAAAAAGCACAGGCTGTATGTTTCTCTACTCTTAAATTGAAAGATTCATTGTCATTCCTATGACTAGCCCTACGGTTATCTCCGCAAACGGCATCCCGACTCCGCCAAGCCCGCTGCCAAGCGTGTGGCCACAACATAATTAATTATTAGATCCTTAGTTCAGCCAGATGTTTAAAGTCTTGTAAAGACAAAAGTATAATAGAAACGAGGATCAGAAGTGTCTTCTAAAAAATAAACTTTATACAGAAATCGAGTCTATCTACTCTGTTAACTCATCTATGAACATAGGCGTTTGTCGTATCTACACCAATGTACGGGGTATAACAAGCACATTAGATAATAAATATTGTAATAGATCAGAGATTGAAAACAAAATATCTAGTATCAATAAAAATTTGCACAAAAATGGTTTCAAAATTGTTTACTAAGGGGGGGCAAAGTGAGTCGCCACCAAAGAAAACTCTTCCCGCAAATTGGCCCACACCCGGTGGTGCGGGAGAGAGAAAAATTGTTTGTTTTTCCGAGAAGAGATGTAGAATAATGGAATATAATAGAATGAACCCCATTTGTTTCTCCTCGAATTCCTCTTTCTTTTACATAAAATTTATTTCCCCTCAAGTTGTTACCGGCGTAGTCTTGTGTTGCTCCACCGAGGAAAAGCCTGTCTTCGGACGATCCCGTTGGCTTTGTTGAGTGGATACTCGTTACAGTCTCGTCGGATCTTTTCTTTTTCATCTTGATCACACCTTGAAGCTCTCCAATCTGCCTTGCCCCCAGCAGACATGGCCCCGTATAAGTCAGAGGGAAAGCTGAGCGCTGAAATGCCTGTGCAAATCCAAGCACAGAGCACGAACTATGATATCGACTACGAGAAGCATGGCGCCCAGCGCGAAGCGAATCCGCTGCCGGATCTCAAGCGGAAGCTGAAGAGCAGACATCTGCAGATGATTGCCATTGGTGAGTTTGGTGATGTTGTCCATGTTGTCCATCAAAATCAGAATTTTCAGACTGATTGTCTTCGAAGGCGGCACAATAGGTACCGGTTTATTCATTGGTAGCGGCACTGCCATTGCTCATGGTGGCCCTGTGGGTGCTCTCATCGCCTACATCTTCGTCGGAACAATTGTCTACTCGGTCATGACCGCTCTTGGAGAGATCGCAACATATATTCCGATTCCCGGTGCCTTCACATCATACGCTGCTCGCCTGATTGACCCTAGTCTGGGCTTTGCTATGGGTTGGATCTATTGGTTCTCATGGGCATCGACATTTGCGCTAGAGTTGACCGCAACCGGTTTAATCATCCAGTTTTGGGACAGCAGTATTTCGATCTCCATCTTCATTGCCGTTTTCTGGGTCGTGATTATCATTTTGAATATGATGCCCGTGGCCTTCTATGGTGAAATCGAGTTTTGGTTTGCGAGTATCAAGGTTATTACCGTGGTTGGCTTCATGATCTTCTCGATCTGCATGAATGCCGGCGTCGGTAAAGAGGGGTATATTGGCTTCCGGTACTGGGTGCACCCTGGTCCATTCTTTCCCTATTTGATTCAAGGCCACGATTCGGTTGCTAAATTTGTTGGATTCTGGTCGACCCTTATTCAGGCCGGATTTTCCTACCAGGGAACCGAACTAGTTGGCATTGCGGCCGGTGAGACAGAGAACCCTCGCAAGACTGTTCCATCTGCAATTCGCAAAACCTTTTTCCGTATCGTTTTCTTCTTCATCCTGACGATATTTTTCCTCGGAATTGTCGTTCCGTCCGATGACCCCGGTCTGTTGGCTAGCGAGGGAGATGGTGCTTCTGCTCAAAACGCCAACGCCTCGCCGTTCGTCATTGCCGCCCGCCGTGCCGGTGTCACGGCTCTCCCCAGTATCATCAACGCCGTTCTTCTGACCGTGGTGCTATCGGCAGCCAATTCCAACGTCTACAGTGGGAGCCGTATCCTGGTGGGTCTAGCCCAGGAAGGTTTCGCCCCTCATTGGTTCAAGAAAACCAGCAAGCATGGTGTCCCTTACTACAGTGTGCTCTTCACGGCAGCTTTTGGTCTGCTTGGATTCTTGAACGTCTCTGATTCAGGCAGCACGGTGTTCACATGGTTGCTTCAGATTTCGGGTGTGGCTGGTTTCATCACCTGGTGTTCACTGAACGCTTGCCACCTTGCCTTCCAGCGAGCGCTCAAGGCTCGCAACATCTCTCGGGATATCCTGCCCTATAAGGCCCTCTGGCAGCCCTGGTTTTCGTGGTATGGTCTATTCTTCAACTGTCTGATCATCATCACTCAGGGATTCACTGCCTTTATCCCAAACTTCCAAGTCAAGGAGTTCTTTATCAACTACCTAAGCTTGATTTTGTTCGTGGTGTTATATGCGGGACACAAAATCGTTTATCGCCCCGCCTTTGTCAAGCCCATTGAGGCTGACCTGGATACCGGCCGTACGACTGCTGATAACGAGACATGGGAGACCATTGAGCCAACTACATGGTATGGCAAGGCATGGAAGTGGATTTGCGGGTAATTAGAGAGACGGCTGATCTCACTGTACATACATCTTTGCATACTCCATAGGCGTTATTTCTTTTACGCATATATACTGCCACACAATTCACATATCTTTTTAAATCCCCTCTTTAGAATACTCTGCATATAATATCGGTCCATGTGAAAATCAGTGCATGTGGCCTATCTAGCTTATGACGTGTAAGCAGGCCCCACATGTTTAGATACCTGGGATAGTATTGGCGGTACCACTCTGTGGCAAGTACCCCCCAAAGAGCCGAGGTTGGCCAGCGCATGTCTTTCGTCCGAAAAGAGTCGGTCGCGCCGGTTTTGATGCAACTCTAGTTTTCTCCCCCACACTTTCCCCCCCCCCCTATGATATCTGGGTTAGTCGGTAATTTTTTGGGGTCATCTCTTTTCCTTATTCACACAAATTTTGGTTAATTTTGGTTCGTCCGCGGTCTGTTCATTCTCATTCCCTCACTAACCATCGCTATCCCGACAGACATGTTCTTCTCACAACCTCCTCATTTGGCCAAGGCCGATGAGCTTAAGCCAGCACCTCCAAAAGGCGTAGCTTACTCTGTAGCCATTCCCGGCACTGAGCAGCCCGGCCGAAGTCGGATATACCGAGCATGGAATGCGCAGAAGGAACTT